TCAATCATGTTTAGCCAGCTTGGGTGTGTATAAACTAAAGATGAGGTAAAGCACTAGACTTTTTATGGAGTGACATTCTGGGAATGCAGGTAAAAATCAGAGAGATTTAAATCTGCAAGTCCCAGAAAGTATAAGAAAGTCTGTAAAAAGGATTAAGTAAATGAAATGTGTGGGATTTGGGGGTGCTTAGTTCTCTTCTGGAGTGTGTACTGTCTGATTATTATTCTTCTTCAGTACGTACCACTCCATTATTCCCTACTTCAGATGTTATTTTTTCTTGAGCAGAAACCAGGGGATGCAATTTTTGTTGAGCAGACTAACACCAATATTGGGGAGTTTCTTACAACAAATCTCTTAGAGCTCCTGTTCCAATACTCAGATGATTGTATTAGAGTTACAGCTTTCAAGGAAGCCTGAGGAGTAGGTCTTGCACCTTTTTCCATCTGATCTGAGAAGGACATGGCTTGACATGCCGTGGCACAGTGGTACTGGTCAGGCCTCTCCTCTCAGGAGAACTCCACAGAGTCATTTCACCCTTCAGCATGGCTGGGTCTATAAACCCTGGCTACTTCTTAATAATCAAGGAAAGCAAAGCCACCAAAAGCCAGCGTGCTTTGGGAAACGTAAAACTGATAAGCAATATGTACAGTGACAGCAGCAACAGACCATTCACTCATCCATTCCCCCAGCCCTGGGCCAGATAACAAGTTTACACGCAGTAACTCCATGCACATACACCCTACAACTACCACTGCAGGGCTTCCTTCCTGCCCTGGCAGACAACAAGGAAGCAGGAAAGTATGCTGGGACACTCCAGGGCATGATTAGTTGGTTGCATGTTCTGCGGAAAGCATAGCATACAGCAACCACTTGCCACAGCAACCTTAAGTATGGAGAATCAATTGCAGAAACAAACTGATTTTAATTAGAGAAGTACATGTCATTAGCAACTAAGCTATATCTAGACAATGTAAGAGAAAGGAAAAGCCTTTTTTAAAACGGTGGTTTGTTACTTCAATTAATTAGAGAGGTTAATAGGCATTATGGTCATATTCAGTTATTTAGCATATACTCATATTGTTATTTAGTGTGTCCTCAAGATCCACTTCACAGCAACTGAAGGGAAGAAACGGGCAAAAGGGTACCTAGATGCAGGTTTCTGATCCTAAACCCAACGTTAGATTGGCAACTATGGTCACCAGGAATAAAATTTGGTTGGCCTAATATAAGTGTGAACCTGTGAAATGCCCGTGTCTGACTTAGTCATCCTTAGGCTCACTTTATAGGTATTGGAGAAACATCGACACCTTCAGAGGAAAACACATCTCAACCTACAGCAGAAAACTAATTCTTTTTCTCTGTAAAGAAGACCAAGGTGACTTGCTCAGACTTAAATATTGAATTTCTACATCTTAAGTTAGAACTCAAGTGATCTTAACCAGCTACAGAGAACCGATGCTCGAGGCTGCTTATTCATTTCACCTAAAATGCCTCTGGATTTCTGTACTGCAGCCTCATAATGGCAACCAGAAGCTAAGATTTCCCTCTACTGGACAAGCAGTTTAACCACAGTTTAGACTCAGTGCTCTCTAGCCTAATGAATTGTTTTCTCTGCATGTGCCACAGCTTCAATAAAAGGGAAAAATATGGCCCCAGGTTATAGCTTAATGTACCAAACCTTGCTACTGAGGGGGGAGAGGCAACCAGTATCTTCTTTTTTTTTTTTTTTTTTTTT